CCTGAGTGCGAAAGTAAAGGCGATTAGGATCTTCCTAACCCTAACCGCCGCTGCGGGCGAGCCTCACGCTCACCGGCGAGAAATCCTTTCCCCTTCATTCTGGCTCTATGGCTTCTCTCCCTCCGGTTCCCCCAAACCCTCCCATACCGCCTGATCCTCCAAACCCCCTAAACCTCGGATCTGCTCCATCCCCAGCTTTGAACAATTCCCTTATGGAAGACTCTCAGATCCCAATCTCTGATGTCTCTCCCTCTACGATTCCAATTCCAGCCTCCCCAGGCTTGGAATCGGTTCTGTTAGGTACGGCTCCTCAAGCTATACCGCTAAATGTTACTTCGGAAGTGAGCAATTCAGGGAATCCATCCCCCCCAAGCTCAGCTCTAGAAAGTGCAGAGGTGAAACAGCAACCTCCTTCTGCTACTACTGGCTTTGACTGGGCATCTAGGGTTTCATCATCTTGAAAAATTGCTCAATCATCGGTTCCAGTTACAATCTCCCCTGAAGGAAGACCTTGGGTAAAAATTCCCAACGCGGTCTTTGAGAGAGGCACAAAAATCCACTCCGACTACATAGTTGGCATTTTCTACGGGAAACCACCAGCTTATGGAAAAATATGGGCTGTCCTGAATTACCTGTGGGGAAAAGACAAGAGGGTCACCATACAAAAGCTATCCAGCAACACCTTCCTCTTTTTTATCCCCAACCCGACTTTAAGATCCAAAATCCTCCAACACGAGCTCTGGAGAGTAGGAGATTCGCATTTCTTTGTCACCAAATGGAAAGCTGAATTCAGTTTCAATCCACCCTCACTGGACCATGCTCCGATTTGGGCCACCATTGAAAACATTCCTTTTGATTTGATCACCAACAAAGGTTTAAGCTTCATAACCAAACCGCTGGGCAAGGCAGTGGACGTCAAGCCCTTCAAAAGTATCAGCTCTGCAGAGGTCAAAGTAGTGGTTGATCTTACAAAGCCTCTACCAACAGAGTTAGAAATCGAGAGGGAAGATGGACAAATAGTGGTTCTCCTTGTCAAATACCCTTGGCTCCCTCCCCTATGCCCAATTTGCAATGAAATAGGACACAAAGCCCCTCTATGCCTGTCGGGTAATGGTACATCGACAACTGGAACCACTGCCTCTACCCGGAAAAACCCTGGAGAAGGAAAAATAACAGCAACTAAGGCTGGGAACCTCTATGCATCAACAGGAAACATCGCTCCACTAAAGAAATTGCTTCTTCTCCATCAAGTGTTCCACCCAAGAAAGGCACCTCCAAGGGAACCTCTCTCAAATGGATCTCCAAAAACCCTGTCCCCACTCTCCCCTCCGTCCCCTCCTCCTCCTCCTTCTCCTCCTCCTCATCCCCAAACCTTTCTCTCTCAATCAAATAACCAATTCCCAAAATACCAATAACTCACAACCCTCATAAAAACCAAAAAGAATCCCATGGTCTTCCTTCCACCACAACCACCATAAATGAGCCACAATCCAACACCATCACTCGACCCCCACAAATCACCATCCTATCCCCAAACTGTTTTGAACTTCTGATGGAAACTGATGCACCTCCAAAGGCGTGTTTGGAAATAATCCCTTTTTCTCCAGAACAAGCTCGTTTTTCTCCCTCTTCATCAGCATCCAAGCAGACAAAAAAGAAGAGAAAGTTCAATGTGAAATCTTCCCCTGCAAAGGGCGACGTTAATCCTCTTGCTAAAGGGGAGCGTCACAACCTCTAAAATCCTTATATATGTCGGATATATTTTTTTGGAATGCGAGTAATAAACGATCGTATCAAGCATCAGCCGTTATTAAACTGGATAAAGTCAAGACCAGTTACTTTTGGGGCGCTTTTGGAAACGCACGTAGCAGCAGCAAATAAAAGCCGTATTCTATCTTCTATAAGCCCGGACTGGGCTGTAATCTCCAACTACCAGCACTCGGATTTAGGTAAAATCTGGATCATTTACAAAGCTCCCACTAAAGTAAAGTTTCTCTTTGCGGATCTCCAATCAATCACAACAGAAGTCACTCTTGAGGATGGGAAATGCTTCATATATACAGCTATCTATGCTTCAAATGAGGGCGAGGAAAGGAAAAACCTTTGGACCTCTCTCAGAGACACGGAAGCATCTTTCAACCTGTCATCGTAAGCTTGGATTGTAACTGGGGATTTCAACGAAATCCTCCATCCTTCGGAAACCTCCAATCCCAACATCACCAGGACCAACCGTGCAATGAGAGACTTTGGCCAATGTCTATCCGATGTGGGTTTGTTTGATTTACCATTTCAAGGCCCTCGCTACACCTGGTCAAACAGAAATCTCTCTGACCCCCTAGGCAAAAAGCTGGATCGCTGTCTCATCAATGGGAGATGGCTTGCTGATTACCCGACAAGTCATTGCAAATTTGGAGCCCCAGAATTTTCTGACCACTCTCCTGGGCAAGTCAGCATCTTCACTCCTCCTCCAACTTTTGGCACAAGGCCTTTCAAGGTTTTCAATCTTTTAACAAAGCATCCGAAGTTTAGCCAAACTATTCGAGACTCTTGGGTAGAGGCAGGGGATTCAGTGTCCTCTTTGAAGGACTTATGTTTCAAGCTCAAAAGTCTGAAAAGACCAATGAAAACGCTTATGAAGGAGAACTTCAATGACATAGAGAAACGAGTCAAAGAAGCTCACCAAGTCCTATCTTCTCATCAGCTAACGGCCTTAGACAACCCAACAAATATCAATATCCAGAATATGAAAGCTGCAAGGGGTTCATGGCACTATCTACGCTTAGCAGAGGAAAGTTTCTTCCATCAGAAGTCGCGGATAAAATGGATGGCAGAGGGTGACCAGAACACTTCCTTCTACCACAAGGTTTCTATTGCCCGAAACACAGGAAATGCTTTAAAAATCTTGAGGAAACCAGATGGATCAAAAACATCAAGTCTACAAGAAGTTCACGAAGTGGCAATAAACTATTTCTCAACCATTCTTGGGACGGTCAGAGGAACGTTTCTTCCTGAGCTTCCTGGTTTTTCTAGGATCAACTTATATGCATCCACTGCTCAGAGCCAATGAGATTGATCCTGCGAAGCCCTGTCTCCGTCGAAATAATCAAAGATGTTCTTTTTCATATTCCCAGCACAAGACTCCAGGACCTGATGGGCTAACGGTAGAGTTTTTCAAAGCTTGCTGGGATATTATTGGATCAGAGGTCTGCGCTTCAGTGATTGGGTTTTTCAGAGATGGTTTTATTCCAACTTCGCTCAATGCAACTACCCTGGTTCTAATCCCAAAAAAGATTGGCTCGGAGAATATCAGGGACTTTAGACCTATTTCATGCTGTAACACCATCTACAAACTCACTTCAGGTATTCTTGCTAATCGTCTAAAGAAGATTCTTCCTCATGTTATTGCATCTAACCAGATAGCTTTTATAAAAGATAGACTACTTCTTGAAAATGTCCTGCACGCATCTGAAGTGGTCCAGGGTTATCACAAAGCTGGGACTCATAAGAAAATCACATTAAAGGTGGATATTTCTAAAGATTTTGATTCTGTCAGATGGGACTTCCTTTTGAGCACTCTACAGGCCTATCGCATTCCAACTGAATTTGTTAACTGGGTCAGAGCATGTGTATGTTCGGCGGCTTTCTCTATCAAAATTAATGGTGTTTCATCAAGTTTTTTCAGAGGCAAAACTGGTCATCGCCAGGGGGACCCTCTCTCGCCTATTCTATTTGTGCTGATAATGAGTGTCTTATCTCAATTTTTGAATAAGGGAGCAGAGGAAGGGACTTTTAACTATCATCACGGGTGCGAAGACCTAAAGCTAACCCATTTAGCTTTTGCGGATGACCTTCTCATATTCCTGGAGGGCTTGGAAAGATCCTTAGATGGGGTTCTTCACATTCTCTCCACTTTCGAGCGCATGTCAGGCCTGGCTGTAAACATCTCAAAAACAAGTATGTTTCATTCAGGTCTGGATGATGATGTGCTTCAGCGTATAAAGGACATATTCCATTTGGAAGCAAGTAGCCTTCCGATCAGATACTTTGGGCTGCCATTGCACTGCAAGAAGCTTTCAGTAGCTGATTGTGATCCACTTATTTGCCAAATAAAGAAGAAGCTTAATGGATGGAATAATCGGTTTTTAAGCCAAGCTGGAAGACTGACTCTTATATCATCAGTGACTTCGGGCATAGTGGGTTTCTGGACATCGGCGTTTATCCTCCCGAAGAGGATTCTTAAAAAGATCAACTCATTATCCACTTCCTTTCTGTGGAATGGAAATGCGGAAAATGTAAAAGGAGCGAAAGTTGCTTGGTCTGAGCTATCTTTTCCGAAAATGGAAAGGGGTCTCGGGCTGAGAAGTTTGGACAGTTGGAGTGACACTTGTGCGCTGAAGCTTATATGGATGTTATATTTTCGAGCTGGATCGATCTGGGTCGCATGGATCAGAATGAAATATCTTTCCTCTTCAACTTTCTGCGCTCTAAATGAAAAAAACCACTCTTTCTCTTGGATGTTCCGGAAATTACTTAGACTCCGGGTCAAAACTCAGCGGTTTTTGCGCATTCAGGTTGGAAATGGGGATGACACATTCTTCTGGTGGGATCCTTGGTCACCTTTTAGCTCTCTTTACCATTTCTTGGCAACAGAGGGTCCGACCAGGCTGGGGATTCCGCTGTTTGCGATGATCAGTGACCTTCATTCAGATGCAGGTTGGTCTCTCCCTCCAGCAAGAACCAAAAAGCAAGTTCAACTTCTCTCCTTCTTATCAACAATAACGCTTAGTGATACCTCCGACTATCCTGTTTGGCTGATTGATAGTAAACCTCAAAAGACTTTCTCCTCAAAGCTAACATGGAACTCTCTTAGACCATCCCGAAACCCAGTCATTTGGGCTCCTTTGGTTTGGCATAAGGCTGCGATTCCTAGACACGCCTTTACCTCATGGCTTTTCATTTTGAACCACAATCCAACATTTGATAGAATTGCGAAATGAGGAATGGATGTAGAGCTGTCTTGTTTGCTCTGTGGATCAGAAAATGAATCTAAAGATCATCTCTTTTTTGAGTGCCCCTACTCAAAGGAAGTCTGGTCATCGATCACAACTACTCTTATGTTTCCCTCGCCTCCGGTTAAATGGACTGATATCATGGCATGGCTACACTCTTCCCCATCAGGCTCCACCACAGCCCTTGCACTTTTACAAGCCTGGCAAGGATGTATCTCTGAACTCTGGAACGAAAGAAACAGAAGAGTTCATCAAGGCTTTACTCTCCCTGTTTCTCTTTTGATCACGAAGATTATCTCATCCATGAAGAACAAGTGCACTGCTATGTCTCAAATTGGTTCAGCTCATGGAGACGCTCTTCTTGAAATCTGGTCACCTTCATAATTATGAGTGATGACTATTGTAACTGATCCTTTCATATTACCTCTGTAATCCCTTGCTGGGAGTTTCGCTTTCTATATTTTTTGTATCGGTCAACTTTGCTGCTGTAATCTTTATCATTTAAATTAATGAAAACCATTTAACAAAAAAAAAAAAAATTCTATTTATTTAATTTATTTTGTAGAGTGTTTGCTTTTAAATTTTCTTAAATATTAAGTCTTGATTGTGAGACTCAAGCTAAAGAGTGCTTTGGAGGTGTCGATCGGGTTACGTCAAGGGAGTGAACAAAGGTTTTTTGAGAAAATTCTACCCATGTTCTGTTGTTTATTATCTTGATAAAGGTTTTGGATTTTGAAAACGATTCTATCTCCAACGCAACCTATGTTTATCTAATGTAATTCATGAATGTTAGATCCGAAGTTGGGAGAGGGGATTATTGGTTTGCCCCTTAATTAATTTGTTTTTTTTATATTTATTCATTTTTATGTGTGTGTTTGTGCTTATTTTGTTGCAATTTCCTGTTATGATGAATCTCAGATCAGAAGTTTTGGAAAATCAAATAAAATATAAGCTATATATATATTATTTTTGGGTGATTTGCAAAAATAATAGGTTGTTGATGAGCAAATTAGGTAACTACCACCAAAAAATGGTTAATTCAGTAAATATTTATTATACATGTGTGTGAATGTAATAATTAACTACTTTATGAGATAGTTATTATACATGTGTATGAATGTAATAATTAACTACTTTGTGAGATAATTCTTATCCATATGTGTAAATGTAATAGTTGGCTATTTTGTGAGATAATTATTGTACATGTGTGTGAATGTAATAATTAACTGATAACACCGTATTTGTATTCTTTCATGTCATTTATCATTCATTGCATCATGTAGATTTATCCAGAAAGTCAAGTTTCTAAAGAGTTATCGATAGGCATACATACATGTTCGATTAGGATTTCTAAGTTTCTAGACCATATTCTGGATCTCATCTTTTCTAAGTTGTTCATACTGCATGAGAGTAGATTCATGACCTATTCTCTGAGCCTAGGGTCGATCAGAGCCACGAGAATGCTGTATCAGATCATCCATACCTAGCTTCAGAAGAACATAGTCGCTATCGGAGTCGAGAGCTACCTGTAGAGAAAATGTGAGCAAACGAATTAAATAGTTAATGCATGATCTTATTCCTGACATGAAAGCGAGAGTTAATTGTCAGATTTAAGTGATTAGTTGATTAAGATGGCGAGAGTTGGTTAATCATACACATGTATATTCCAGTTTCATGCAGATCCCAAAAACAGATGAAGATAAATCGCCCGGAGGCTAATTGAAAATGCTTTGACATCGATTAGAGTAAACCAGAGAAGTCTAAATCGCCCACTATAAGTCTAGAGTTTATAGTTTGAGTCGAACATCCTTTTGATATTCTTTTAGCAACTCATTTGCATTACATATTATTTTCCGTAAATATTAGATTAGGTTTAGTTTAGGATCCGTAACAAAAAACCCCAAAACCCCCATGAGTTTATGACTTTGCTTACTATCCCAGTTTGGTGTTTCCTTGCAGATTAGATATCTACCTTGTGGATCGACACCCTAAGTTCTACAACGCACATCTGTGCACTTTCAGACATTAGGATTTTATAAATTTAAAACTTCGGACCAATGAACTTGCAAAAGACGAGCAACCCTGAGGCCCATCAAAATTTTTGGTGCCCTTGCCGGGGAAGATTTTAGTCGCTGGAGGTCTAAACCGAGAGGGTTGAAGCTGCAAAAGACTATATATATGTCGAGTTTCTGCCAAAACACCATAGGAAGTAAACCAAACTCATAAACACCCTAACTTTTTCTTTTTCTTCTTGCCTTAGTTTCAGATTTCCTTGAAGCATGGATCATCCAAGAAGAAACTCTTAACCCCGAGCGAAGGTTTTGCAACCTGTGTGAAGCTCCCTGCTCATGTGAATCACCATTCAGGTGTGATTCCAACCCTGGATCAGAACCCTCAAACCGAACCATCACCTTGGAGGCTCGCGAACTCTAGACCACCGAGATGAACCTTATTCACTACACCTGGTGAACCGACGACCATCTCATCTCCTACCTCACCAAATTTTGCACCAGAATAATGAAACTGATCGATTTAAGCTCGAACTGGATCGATTAGAAGCTATGCTGAATCAATATCTTGACTTCCAACTTGTTACCGAAGCCACCCTATACAAAAAGATCGATGATCTCATCAACCATGTGAAATCGCTGGAAGAGCTGCATTCCAAAGATATTTCTGCCCTAAGAGAGAAGATAGAGGCTTTTGAGGAAGAGCAACCAAGACAGAAGTATGATATCCTTCAAAGGTCCATCGATGCCAAAGCTGCCAAGCTAGAGATCAAGGAGGCCAATGAGTTTGCTTCATGGTACAGAGGAAGGACAGATGGTGAACTTCAAGAGATTGAATTTCACCTAAACAAGCTTGAGCACAAGATCAAGGAAACAAGTTCTGATATAAAGTATCTCTCTAAGTGCCAAGGGGACACAAACCTGATGGTTAAGAAGATCTTTGAAAATCATAAGAAGGATTCTGTTGTCCATAATCAACAAGAAGAAGAAGAATCAACCGACTCTGATGGAGGAGATCCTACAAGGGATACCCCAAATGGCCCTGAAGACATCCTGGATGAGCAAGAGAAAGGAGCAGCTATGCAGCCATCGGAGCTCCCCACCACGACCGCGAGGATGTGATGTCGGTGTGTCGTGAGGGTTGTCAAGTTTTACCCTAAATGAAATCAATAGCCGTAAGTGCACAGCTGATCGATTGTAGTACTAGGAATCGAATCCACAGGGAAGGAGGATCTTTTCTGCAAAAGCCTTCGAAAGAAATATAAAATAAGGAAGTCTAGAACCAAACAGTTTTGTGGGGGTTTAGGTGGTTAAAATGTAAAAACGAACCTTAAAGAGAAAATACGAGAATTAAAATGATCTAATAACTAAACGTAGCGAAAACGAGTAAAAATGAGAAAAACGGCTAACCTAATTGCTTGAATGAAAATCGATTAAAAGGGAATGAAAATCGATTAAAAGGGAATGAAAATATGAACTAAAGCTTGAAATAAAACGGTGTGAATCTATAAGAAAGAAAGTGCTGGGCTTCAGGGAAGTTTTCTCAGGGGTACGAACGATTCAAAACATTGCTAGAGAGTAAATTTGATAAGATCTTAGCTTAAACTTTTCGAACTGGAGTCACGGACGTATGAATACGCCATTGTCGTGATCATAGACAACTATCTCTCTCAACCCTGACCAGTAGGTTTCCACTCTGGCCCTGGAAAAGAAGAGATGCATTATGTTTAAGACTCGTCAGCATTCACAAATCGCCCATAGGTAGGTTTCCACTCCTATGTTTGTTTTGCTCTCCCAAACTAGATCTGACACCAGATGAACACTTTCGTGTCACCAAGCATCTGGATCAGATTGTAGTTCATGACGCTACTCTCATGCAGTAAAAACGAATTCAGAAGAAAAATTTCTAAGATTCGGCTCAAAAGCTCATGGAATCCTCATCGAACATATAAATCCCCATCGAAAATAACGAAATTGAAAAAGAAAGAACAAGGGTTCAAGAGACAGATCTCTCTCTCCCTAAAACCTAAAAACAAAGCTTAAAGTAAAATTTCTGTAAAAGTATTTCGTCTCTCCTTTTTTTCTCTATATAAAAAACGACCTAAATGACATGTATTTATAGTCTCCAATACTCTCTGGTGTCTAGGGTTCCAGAATTGAGGCTGGGAAAATGATACGGGCTTCAGAAATGGGCCTTCGGGCTCGGATTTAGCTGGCCACGGTCGGGATGAGTGCGACCGCGGGAAATGGGTGGCTGGCCGCGGTCGCGGCGGTTGTGACTGCGGGGAGTGGTCTGTTGGCCGCGGGTGGAAACGTTCGCCGACTGGTTTACGGGACATCTTGCTCTTCGCGTATCTTTTGATTGAACCGTTGGATTGCCAAGCTGTAAAGTGTGCTGGAAAGCTGATACTTCCATCTTTAAGATCTCCAAATTTGAGCTGGATCAGACGATGAGAATGCCTTCAATCGGGGGTGAACTTCTGACGGTTTGACTTTGAGCTGAAATCTGGTTTTCTATCCATTTTGTTAAGCTTTTCCCAAAGTTACCTGAAAAGAGTCTTGGAACTACAAATACTAGAAAAACATAATAAAAGTACTTGAAAGCAATTAAAAACATAGAAAAAATATTTCAAAACGATCCATAAAAGTGGTCAAAATACGGTGTTATCCGGATGTCACCCATGGCGGAAGGGCATCTGGCCACGGCCGCGACATCTCCACCCGTGGGGAATCACCATCTCTCCATGAGTTCACATCACCAAGTATCTGAAGACCCAGAAGAGCATAACCCTCACATCCTATGCATGATGATCGCAGAAAGTGAACCAGATGTCTTAGATGAGGATGATGAATCACCTAAGAAGATTGAAATGCCGTACATAGATTCAATCATCTGTTTTGATGCAGCAAAGTTCTACTGTGACTCTTACTCTGCATTTGATGCACCAGACCATCCACAGGAAAATCCAGTTTGAATTCTGCACAAATTTCAAGACAAAGGTCAATTTCTTATCTCTTGTGACATTAAAGGTGAAAGATTTCTCAAATTTCTTTGTGATTCTAGAGCTTGCATTAACATGATGTCCAAAGCTACTGCTTTGAGACTTGGCATTAAACACATTTCAAGTACCAGGACAAAGATTAGCTTACTAGATGATTCAAGTGCAACTCCAAGAGGGATAGCCCGATACATTTCTTTAAGGATTGAAGATTGCATAGCATCTGTCCATCTCTACATAGTAAAGACCAAAGATGACTCATATCCAGTTATCCTTGAATAGCCTTTCTTTATCATGGATTGGCCCAACCGGATAGTTTCTTCTGCAAATATCGACAAGGACATCTTTTATGAAGGTACACCACCTAAGAGCAAAG